GGAGGGAGGCGGGGGGAGGGCTGGAAAATAGACATCTGGCACATAGGGGGAATGGGGCGGGGATGTCGGGCTTTCTGCTACCTGTATCTGCTCGCATGACCCATCGGCTGGCAGCTTGAACTAGAGGCTGGCTATCCGCCTGATCTGACGAAGGGGAGGGGAGGGGGTTGATTTGGAGTGAGTGGTAATGCGGATTACTGGCGGCGCAGAGCAGTGTACACATGGCAGCTTATAGCAAGATACCGACTTTGAAGGCTCAACTCACGTGGCTAGGCAAAAATGGTCATAACCTCCTGACTCCTGCGCTAAAGGCACTTAGTCTAAGGCATTCATAACTGGTTTCTGCCTTTCAGTGACAGTCCAAGGAAGCCTGGAGTAGCATGGAATCCTTAACGAGAAGGACAAAGGAGCCTGGGCTGCAGGTTCCTGACCTGTTAGTAGTAGTAGTCGTCGTCGTAAGGCAGCCATATCCAGCCCCGGGTTTTAGAAACTCTGAGTGCTCAACCTCTATTCGATGGTTGGGTATGGTTGCCTGGCGACAGGTAATAAGCCAGAACTGGTCACCCCCCAGTCCCCCTCCCCGTTTTTGTCGGTACTCATTTATTGGGCGCTGTGTGACTTTCCACGAGTCTCAGGGCGGAACGGGGCAAGAATGTTCCGTAACTCGACTGGTGATGCACATCCAACATAGTATTATCAATCGCAATCGACAGGACCACGGCCCCGGGGTTAAATGGTAGAGTGCTGGGCTTACTAATGCTAAATGACCACAGAAAAACCCTGCTTCAGAACTCAGATTTTGCAAGCCGACTGATGATAGCTAAGAAGTCAGAACCGGCCGTCCCACTCTTCTCTCCCGTCTTTCTCGATACTACCTTCTGTAAGGTTACTGGATGTTATGAGGATTCTCGCGAGAACGCACTGTAAGAGGACTTGGCACGTATGAACGATCGATAATGCAATCCCACGCTAAGAACAAGACAAGATAAGTAGAGTAAGACAGCCCCGATATAACGACATCAACTGCTTACGCCAACCAGCGTAGAACAAAGACAATGGGGCAACTATCAGCTCTTGATACCGTAACTCAAACCAGTTGAAGTTTTGCGCGTAACGGTTAATAGACAAACTTAAACAACTAGAAATAAATGTAAGTTAGGGAAATTCGTAACAGATTGGATCAATGCGGAAAGTTGTGTAGAAGTAAACGTATGGCGAAGGGCTACCACAAGCATGTGTCCGTAACCGGACCGTGAAATAAAATATGCAGTTTGCGTAGGTCCCAGACACAGGTGCACAATATCTTCGAGCGTACGACATGGAAAACGAAGCAAATTTCGCAAGTCATTAGGTGACATAGAAATGGGTAGGTGAAAAATTAACTGCGTAGCGAGAAAATTGAGACAACTTTTAACGATGGCTCTTTAACCTATTGTCCTGAGATACCGCTTTTCTGAGATTGATAAAGTAGTGCGTGGCCATATTTTGGCCTAGGCGTTGACGTAACTGCAAAATTTGTCGTCTTCTGGATGGAGGTCGCCAAAAGTGGAGTGAGACTGGTGGAATGCACCCTGCGGTCGCATAGCTGGAATGGGTGAATTCTGCTTCCAACTGAGGAAGGTGAGAGAGAGAGAGAGAGAGAGAGAGAGAGAGATAAGGTTGCAAGCGAGGGGTATTATCAGCCAACTTTCTGCGAATGCTGTTCATAATG